AGGGTCTTAAATCTAGCAGCTTGCATCAACTCAAGATTGAAGCAAACATAACAGCTTGCCGCACGTAGTCCATTACTATTACAAATTAATTGTCAGGAATTACAAGTTTGTACATTTCATGAATTCAGCCAGGGACTCACTGTAAGACAGTTGCCACAAAACGTTGGCAGACTTAGATTGCTTAGACAGCCTTCAAATAGCACACTTCCGTCTCAACAAACCATTCCTGGGGAACAATTGGTTCCCCTCACATGCACACTGTTGCAACATGTTCTGCGGAGCACATATCGAATGACGTCAGACAGTGCCTGCGGCTCGAGCTTATCACCTGTTACATAACACGCCCCGCTCCTGCACGTCGTAAAGCCTTTGCATGTTAGTGGTCTTTATAGCATAGCTCTTCCATATAGCACAACCTTTGTATTGTCCTGGACGTAGTTTTGCAACCGTAGCCCTTCCTTAATAGCGGAGCCTTTGCATTGTTATGAACGCCCATCGGATGAGCTCCCTGTCAATTGCATTAGCAGCGGCAGGGAAACTCGCTTCGAAAACGAACAGAAATAGCACAGGATGCGCAAGTGCGGCCCATTTCTCCACGGGAAGCCCACAGTAGGACGTCTTTTTCCAATACCACCGGAAGGCAAGACAGAAACGACCCCGCCGCCGGCCAGGCTGGCCGGCGGCGGCCGCCAGCCCGGCGAGATCGAGCCGCCCCCCCCCCCCCCCCCGCCCCCTGGCGGCTTCCTCCCCCTCGACCCGGCGGCGGCCGATCAATGACGCTGCGAATCCGATGGGCCGCACCCCGGCCAGCTGGCCCAAATTCGAGGAACAGCCGAGTCGGCGGCCGAGTTAGGACAGCGCTTGGACAGGGCCGCAACCGAGGCAGGGGAGAGGCCGGACAAGGCATCAGCCGAGGCGGGGTAGCGGCCAGACAGGGCCGCAACCTAGGCAGGGGAGAGGCCGGACAAGGCAGCAGCCGAGACAGGGCAGCGGCCAGACAGGGCACCGGTCGGACAGGGCAGAGGCCGGACAGGGCAGCGGTCGGACAGTGCAGCGGCCGGACAGGGCAGTAGCCGGAACAGGGCAGTAGCTGAGACAGGGCAGCGGCTGGCCAGGGCAGCGGCTGGACAAGGCAGCAGCCGAGGCAGGGGAGCGGCCGCACATGACAGGAGCGGAGGCAGGGGAGAGGCCGGGACAGGGCAGCAGCCGAGGCAGGGGAGAGGCCGATCAGGGCAGCAGCCGAGGCAGGGCAGCGGCCTGCAGGGCAGCAGCCGAGGCGGGGGAGAGGCCGGGACAGGGTACCAGCCGAGGCAGTGCAGCGGCCGGACAGGGCAGCGGCCGGACTGGGCAGCAGCCGGGGCAGAGCAGCAGCCGGACAGGGCAGGCGCCGAGACAAGGGAGAGGCCGGACAGGGCAGCAGCCGAGGCAGCGAAGCAACCGGACAGGGCAGGAGCCGAGGCAGGGGAGAGGCCGGGACAGGGTAGCAGCCGAGGCAGTGAAGCAACCGGACAGGGCAGCAGTCGAGACAGGGGAGAGGCCGGGACAGTGTAGCAGCCGAGGCAGGGGAGAGGCCGGGACAGGGCAGCAGCCGGGGCAGGGGAGAGGCCGGGACAGGGCAGCAGCCGAGGCAGGGGAGAGGTCAGGACAGGGTAGCAGCCGAGGCAGGGGAGAGGCCGGGACAGGGCAGCAGCCGAGACAGGGGAGAGGCCAGGACAGGGTAGCAGCCGAGGCAGGGGAGAGGCCAGGACAGGGCAGCAGCCGAGGCAGGGGAGAGCCGGGACAGGGGCAGCAGCCGAGGCAGGGGAGAAGCCGGGACAGGGTAGCAGCCGAGGCAGGGGAGAGGCCGGACAGGGTAGCAGCCGAGGCAGGGGAGAGGCCGGGACGGGGTAGCAGCCGAGGCAGGGGAGAGGCCAGGACAGGGCAGCAGCCGAGGCAGGGGAGAGGCCGGAACAGGGTAGCAGCCGAGGCAGGGGAGAGGCCGGGACAGGGTAGCAGCCGAGGCAGGGGAGAGGCCAGGATAGGGCTGCGCACGGGGCGGACATCAAAATGCAACACAAACATGTCGCGGAGACAGGCCGCGGTTCGGTCCGTCACAACCCAAGGGGTCATAGCCGGGACATAGGCGGATCGCGGACAGGTTACAGGTGAACCATAAACAGGACACAGGCGTAGCGCATACACACAGACGAGCACATGTGAACCAAGGGCAGGATCGGACGAAAGACAAACATGTACGCGACACAATAGGTCATTTGTAGGTCACATGTGAACTATGGGCAGGATCGAACACAAGACAAACATACACACGACACAATAGGTCATTTGTAGGTCACATGTGAACGAAAGGCAGGCTCGGACACAAGACAAACATATACGCGACTCAATACGTCATGTGTACGCCACATGTGAACCAGGGGCAGGATCGGACGGGAGACAAACATATACGCGACACAATGGGTCATTTGTATGCCACATGTGAACCAGGGGTAGGATCGGACACCGAGACAAACGTAAAGGAGACCAGAGGCGAATCCAGAGGGCCCGCACCTATGGGGGAGGGGGGTCATTACCACGGGGTCATGGTCCCCCCGTTGGGCCTCAAAGGGGCGCATCGGTTCCGAGAGGGCCCAAGAACAGGCGACCAAGAACAGTTGCAAGAGAAAGTGAAGGGCCCACGAGCACGTAAACATTATTATTCACTGATTGAAAGAGTAGCGATTTGGAGGTCTTAAGACCGCTTACGCTGTCCAGAAGCCCTACGCTGCTTCGGGGGCCCTATATGTCCACCTGCGGGTCAACGTAATCGTTAAGGGGCCTTCTACGTCACCTTTGAATTTTTTTTTGCATTTGATCGGAGGGCCCTCCGCTGTTGCTGGGGCCCTTCCTGCTAGCGTGCCGGGGCACTCATCGTAATCAGGAACCTCACACAGATTTTTTCCGTGTGCCCGAAATGTTCCATACACTCAAGCCCGGGGGCCCCATATGTTGACATACCGGGACGTCCTTGTTAGCTCAGGGGTCCTTCACGTTGGTCACGCTTAACCTACCGGCACACTCACGATATACTCATGGGCCATCCACATTGGCCTAGGGCCCTTCAAGTTTTCTGTCACTTACTTAGGGCCCTACTCTCTTGTCTGGGGTCCATCTGTTAACCTCCTTGGCTCTCTCGGTCGTTCGGGGCCGTCCAGATTGGGTCTTGGGTACTTTTTATTTAAATGGAGCGCCCTATACACCTATCGGGGCCCCCATCCGTTTACCCGCTCGGGTGCACTGGATTGTTCGGGGGCCCTTCTCATTGGGTTTTGGTATTTGAATGTAAGGTCCCATGCCCTTGTCGGGGCCATCTGATAGCCTCCTTGGGTACACTCGATCTTTCGGGGGTCGTCAACACTGGGTTTTGGGCACCTCTTATTTGAATGGAGGGCCCTGCACTCTTGTCGGGGCTCCATTTGATAACCCGCTCGGGCACACTCGATCGCTCGGGGGCCCTCCTCATTGGGTCTTGGGTACTTTCTATCTGAATGGAGGGCCCTATACTCTTGTCGGGGGCCCCAAATGTCAACCTGCTCGAACACACTCGGTCGTCCGGGGTCTTGGGTGTCACACATTGGGTCTTGGGTGCTTCCTATTTGAATGGAAGGCCCTACGCCCTTGTCTGGGGTCCTATCTGTTAATCTGCTCTGGCCCACTCGATGATTTAGGGGCCTTCTACATTGTGTCGTGAATATTTCTTATTCGAATGGAGGGCCCCACGCTCCTGTCGGGGGCCCCATCTGCTACCTTGCTCGGGCACACTCGATCGTTCGGGACCATCCACATTGTGTCTCGGGTACTTTCTCTTTGAACTGAGGGCCCTGCGCACTTCTCGGGGGCCATTTGTTCACATTTTCGGGCACACTAGATTGTTCGAGGGCCCTGCACATTGGGTCTTGGTATTGGAATGTAGGGCCCTACGCCGCTGTCGGAGGCCATCTCATAGCCTGTGAGGGTACACTCGATCTTCCGGGGGCCCTCCACAATGGGCTTGCGAAATTTTTATTTGAATGGAGAGCCCTACGCTCTTGTCAGGGCTCCTTTTAATAACCTGCTCTGGCACACTTGAACGTTCGGGCTCACCTACATTGGGTTTTGAGTACTTCCTATTTGAATCATCACATTTTACGGAGCGACATCGACCCAAATTCACGGAAAGCATCGACGAATAGCGTCGTTTGACGACCGATGGACAGGAAGCGGTTCCACAGACGAACAGCGGGACGTGCCACCAACAAGCACGAGGGGCGTTCCACCGACAAGCACGAGAGGCGTGCCACAGACGAGCACGAGGGGCGTGCCACAGACGAGCACGAGGGGCGTGCCACCAACAAGCACGAGGGGCGTGCCACCGACAAGCACGAGGGGCGTGCCACCGACAAGCACGAGGGGCGTGCCACAGACGAGCACGAGGGGCGTGCCACCGACGAGCACGAGGGGCGTGCCACCGACAAGCACGAGGGGCGTGCCACCGACAAGCACGAGGGACGTGCCACCGACAAGCACGAGGGGCGCGCCACGGAGAACGCACCAAAAGCGCAGAGGCAAGTTCCACGAAAGGACAGAGAGACAGCCGCATCGAATACGGACATGCAGCAGGCAGAGAAATGCCGCTCAGACGGACCGAGGGACGAACCAAGCATCACTCTGATGTAGAGGGACATGCCACAGACAGAGGGGTAGCGCCTCCGATGGATAGAGGGGCGTACCGCGAACGGACAGAAGGAAGCACTACAGGTCGACGGACTGCGCACCAGCCACGGGCGTTCTAAAGACGCACGGAGGGGAGGGGTGTATTGCTCGCGGTTGGTCACTAAATTCAAGTTGGGGGAATAAGCGTGAATGTGCAGAAAGGTGCACTGCAGACAAACAGAGGGTGTTTTTCACCCGTATAATGCTTGCCACACACAACCAGAACCGCAAGTGTGTCGTCTATAACGACATTCATTCACCGGATCTACTAGCAGCAAGCACTGTACTCACTCAAGGAAACACTGAACAAAACGCTGGAGGTTCTTGGCATTGATTTTGCTTTTCAGCCGCTGCTGAAAGTCCTTGATGAGCTTCTCTCTTGTGGATGGATCCATGTCGCCATCAAGTTGCTGGAAACGCACATAATGACGTCAGTGGATGAATGGAAATGTCGGGCTGGTTGAGGATGCGTGATTGCAATTGCCTTAGGGCTGCCAGCGTGTGAGATTTCACTTTTTGATGTAAATTATTCTGCTGGTGTTGTTTGGAATAATTCAAAAACAGCATCGATTACCGCGGTCGGTACTCACAAGACAGTCAAGAAATAGTTACATATCTGGAAGCACTGAAGGCTGAAATGCAGCTAAGACAAACAAGAAGTGGCCTTTTCGTTGACGACACGATTGGACTACACCCAATAAATGACCAATCACATGATTGGTGGCAAAGGCTTTTTAGCTGCTTATACTGTTGCTAGCGTTTTTACACTGAAACTTTTATTCCGTTCTATAAGCTGAAGTAGCCACACACGGTGGTCGCTCCGTGGAGATGCTCGGTGCAATACTACTCCTGTTGCGTTTCGTGACAAAAATATTTGCTGACCATGCATGTCTACAAAACAAACGCGCATGTTCCTTAAAAGGCAGAAGTAACACCTCTGAAAAGGCAGATTGAAAATGTTGCATGTCCATGTTGCATGTCTGCGTGCGCAAGACAACTTCGTCGATGCCACCACGACGATCCAAACGCACCACGTGCCGCGCCGTGGTGCGTCGGCTGCGGCGGCGTCCTCCACCGCCCGGCCGGCCGGGACCTTACCTCGCCCCCTCCAGGTCAGCACAGACGCCGCGCCAGGGACCGGACTACGCCCCACCACCGACACACAAGGACAGACCAGACCGCCAGCGCTAGCGAGCAGCAGCAGCGGCGGCGGACGCGGCGGGCGCGGCGGGCCCACGGACAAGCGGCCCCGGTCAGGCGTCAGTGGAAGCCATGCGGCGGCAGGCGGGGCGCCCGGCCGCTGTACGTTACCTCCTCCAGGGTCTGCGGGAACCGGCAACAGAGAAAACACGAACAGTGGTCAGTGTGCGGCCACGGCGGTGGCGGGCGGTGCGACCGTGCGGGCCGCACACCGCCGCCCCCGGCCGAGAGCGGTGCGGAGTGCGAGGTGCGCTCGGTGCCACGACTCATGCGCCGCACGCGCCCGGCTCGACCCCGCTGCTGTGTGGAACGACGCGGCCCTTTGGCGTGTTCGGAGCCCGGCCGTGCGCTGGTGGGTGACGGGCACGACGGGCTATTTTCGACACGGCTGCCCCGTGACAGGCACGGGATTGTCGTCGCAGCCGTAAGGGTGTTCGTGCGGCTCTGGGCCGTGTCTTCAGACCGTGTTGTCCGGAGTGACTCGACTTTCAGGGCTGCCTGAGCTCCAACATTCAGGTACGCCTCTCTCCGCGGAGCCGCCGCAGGTAACAAGCGACTAGGTTTGACCTTTCCACCGCGCTACGTCGTCGGATGATTAAGGTGTGTGAGGAAGCCTGCGGTGAGTGAGCTTTAGTGTCGTTTGCGCAAGATGGGATTTGAATCCGTGATCCAAGATTTAACTCCTCGGATGGATCTCCATCCACAAGAATCCCTCGTGGACAGAAGCTCAACCACTTTGATTAATGTACTAGGAAGCAATGTGCTTGAACGCAGGGTCAACGGCTAACTACATCGATGAATGCACTGGAAAGTCTTGTGTATGGGTTCAAAGTGTTAACATGGACGGACCATGTAGAGCCGGGTGCTTTGCGTAGGCAACATTTCCCCTCCCAGCTGGAAGTGACCCGGGCCCCCCAGATGGGCCACGGGAAGGGGCCCCGGCGACACGGCGTCACGACAAGGGCACATCTGTGCCACAGCGACCGCACGCGGCGGCCACACCGGCCAGCGGCGGTGCCCAGCACTAGCACACACGGATACGACAATGAGCTGCAGCGCAAGCCAACACAAAACAAACCGTCGACAGAGCCACAAGGCTGGTAAGCCTCGCGAACACCCAGCGGCAGGTAGTCACGAAGCGCATGGGGCAAATAGCGCCGTGTCATATACGCCGTGTCATATACGCCGTGTCATACACGCCGTGTCATATACGCCGTGTCATATACGCCAGCAAATGGGCCATCGGACCATAGGCTAGCGGCCTATCGAAAACACACTCAGCAAGGCATGATAATGCACTTAAAATGAGCTGAAAAAGCAGTGTCACCGTCAAACTTGCATTAGCAAGGCACAAGCTGTTTGTTTTTCTGGCGGACTGCACGAAAGGCTCGCTTGCTAACGTAGCTGATGGCCAGGCATTATAGATAACGTAAGCGGTTCAGCACTTGCCTTTGACGGCACAGCGTACGTTTCCCAAAGAAAAAATCATGAGACATAGCTCACAGAAAGCGGGTTACCTCGTAGATAATATATGATATCTGAGGTAAGGAAAGAAGAAAAGCGTAGAAACGCAATATTTCCATGTGCACGAAGTGGGAAGCATTTAAAGAACTAACGGTAGAGGTGGTAACAGCAAACCCTTTGCTCCAAACCCCACGATATCTATACGATCTAAAAAGAAGTGCGATTGCGACAGCCCGATTACACCAGAGAAACGCATCGCTCATGTGGCAACAGCTTTGGTCGAGCGTCAGCGCTTATAAGATTGAATTATTTTTCCACAATAGCTAACGCAGTTTAGATAAACACAAACCCTGCGTCGCGAACGCCGCCCAGAATGAGGACAACGAGACGACAGACACCGCGAGCGCGTCACGACAAAGCCACACTTAGCCAAAGTCACCAGGCTCACAACATCGACACGTTCAAACGAATGCCCTGAGCGGCCGACGATACTTACGCTGCCGAATCGGTGGAACACCAGGTACTGCTCGGCGCTTGGGTGGTGGCCGATCGAGCTCAGCTTCCAGTTCATGAACTGAAAGTCACAGATCATCAACAGATTAGCAACACAAGTATCTTTGCGACAATGTAGCGATGCGTTTTGAAACTGGGTGACAGCGACGACATCAAGGGAATTTGTACGGAATTTGGCATGCTGCAGACGCGGCACCGTTTGTCAGAAAGACAAAACTGGCAAAGGTTGACGGGAGTCGCTTCATCCGTGATGTAGGCGTGGCTGCCACATTGTAGGTGCAAACGGAGCCAAAAAGGCACCTTAGGAGCATTTTACTCAACCAGAAATGGAATTCAACACCGAAGCTGACGCAGTGCTACTTTGCATGCCTTCTGCTGAGATGAGCGAGCACTTAGTTCGATCAACAGGCGCAGGTGGTCCGTTCAGGTACATGACGCAGTGCGTTGCTCTTTGCTGAGCGTGTTGCATCAGCCGGGGGCAGCTGGCGGGCGGCACCCCGCCACCCCCCCCCCCCCCCCCCCCTCCTCCAACGCCAGACCAGCACCCAGCACCACTGCGGCGGAGTCCGTTCTGACGCACGGGGCGCGTGATGACTTGTACATGCTCAAATCGATTTCAGCATGTCACACACATTCAAATTAATGTTCGATTCCGACCGACGAAACGGGACTACTGCGGCATAACCAATAAGTCCGTTCTAAAGTGAAATGATCAACAAGCTAAATACGCGCTCAATACGCACTAACTCAGTGGAAGAAAACACCATCACGAGAAAACGTGACTTCATCTGGGCCATATCGCAAAATTGTCCAATGGCAAGTCGTACTTGCCAACTCATTGCTGTCAACCCAAAGAAGCGGCACAGCCTTGACGGCAATTTACATCTCCAAGGGAATCCAATGCTATCATCAATCAGTTCAGCTGAATCGCCACTCAGGCCTGCCGCCCAGGGACCACGCGCAGCGGCCCGATACAGCGGCGGCGCCCCTCCCCATCTCTGGCCGGGCTGCAGTTGGCACCCCGCCAACTGGCGGCCGTGGCCGCGGGCTGCGTACTGCATAGCGCGGAGCCACGCCGGCTCGGCCTTCCCGTAACAAGCCGGCAGCCGGTCTGGCTGACAATGCACCGCTCACAGTGCAGCAAGCGAGAGGCCCGGCGAGACAGCGACAGTCTGCGGTCCTGACCAGCAGGCGACCTCCGGAGCGGCAGTGTACGGTGTGGGTCAGGGAGTTCAGGCGGCAACAGTCTGCAGTTTGAACCAGTGAGGGCCTCACACACATAACTCTGCAGCCTGAAGCAGCAAACGTCTCCCATTGAAACGGACCGGGCCAGTGAGTGGTCTGTAGTCTGGGCAATGACGGCAGGCAGTCCGGATCAGCTAGCGGCTATCAAACGGCGGCAATCTGCAGCCTGAATGAGCTAGCGGCCCTCAGACTGCGATTGCTGATGTTAAGACAATGTAGTCTGGACCAGCGAGCGGTCTTCAGACAGCAATGGTCTGTATTCCAGACCAACAAGGGACCATCAGACAGCGATTGTCTAATCTGGATCCACGGTAGGCCCTCAGACAGTGATACTCGGCAGTTCAGACTATAGGGAAGATCTAGGAGAGCGACAACCTGCAGGCTGGACCGGAGCGATCGGATATCAGACCGAACCTGTCCTTCATGTGGCTCCGGAACGTGTTACTCATTCATTGAGACTGTAAGAGATCTAAGAAGAATGTGACATAGTATTCAGATTTATATTCAGGCCAACTAATCGGAGCTTTCAGCCAGAACGGTCTACTTAGGTCTACTCCTGAGTCGCCTACATTTTCAAACGAAATTCGACTTTGACGGCTAGAATACCTGGTCGATTCCAGAGTCGACTCCGACCTTTCACACAGGTAAGCATGCGTCTGCTTTCAACAGCGATAGCCCGTAGTCTAGATCTGCGAGAGGCCCCGCCAGACGGCGATAGGCTATAGTCTAAACCATCGAGCCGCGCTCAAAAGTAATTTTCTGTGGCAATACAAGCGAGAAGATGGCAAGATCGCACAAAAGACCAGTTTGGGCCTACGATAGATAGCATACTACCAGCATACTGGGAAGCCGGGCGCCAAAATGAGGCCCAGGAGGCACACCCCCACAGCATTGGCGGTACCCAGTCATAGCACACCACCACACCCTCCCCCGTCCGGTCTGTGGCCGTCAGGCTCGCACACTCTACCTTGTCGTTGAAGTACTCCATGATGCCAGCCTTGGTGGAGGTGCAGTGGACCAGAAGGAGGCCCAGAACACGGTCCGGGTATGCCAGCCCGAAGCGGGTCAGGATGTTCGCGCCGGCGCCCTCCGCCAGGCCGATCACCATCTTGACCTGCAGCGTGTCCAGCACCTGCACTAGCTCTTCGCCCAGCTGCTGCATGGTCGGGTACCGGAAACTGCGGCGCACGCGACGCGGTCACTTCAGAGCTCGGGCCCCGACGCTACCGCCAGCGGCGGAGCCCAGGGCCCATCGGCCGCACAGGTGACAAAGACAGAGCATCGCCGACAGAGCGTTTCACGGTGTACAGTCTGCAGAGTTCATGAGCAGCAGCGTGAGGGCTGTGCACTCACGTGGTGTCCAGGAGAACCACGGATCTGACGCAGAATAACCAACATGGCGGGCAAACTTTATACGGGATGGAAATTGTTACGGGATGTTGGCTGAAAGACTCTCTGTCTAAAATCTCAAGAAGGCATGGAGGAACACCGGAAGCATAAGGACAGCTGTGGCATTGAGAGCTGTTACTGACGATGCGAAGAGATTAAATGATGCTCATCGCGTGCAGTTTTAATGGTGCCGTCCATCTAGGCTATAACAAAAATATCTAACAACAGCTTGCCCGGAAACATGAAACAAATCACCCAGATTACGGCAAAAGCATTTGACGGTCGCTTATCAGGGAACACGCCCAGTCGCCACTGTTTTTGCGATCGCTATCAGACAACTGTTCCATATCCCGCACTCATGGAGGTACGGAGAGGCCGGTGGTGCGAGCGACACTCTGCATGTGTTCACGCAGCAAAGCGTCAGCAGCCGTGCCAGCCTGTCCATCGGTCGAGCCGACCGAGAGCTGACCGGGAGCTGACCGGGAGCCGACCGGGAGCCGGCCGGGAGCCGACCGAGAGCTGACCGGGAGCCGACCGAGAGCTGACCGGGAGCCGGCCAGCCGAGCATGACCCCGGCCGGCCGGCGGAGCGTCACAACAGCTCGCGCTATTGTGCCGGCCGAGCTCGGCAGAGCGTGTCCGCTCGACCGAGCCGCGCCCCGGCCGCCTACACGGTGCGCCATTAGTCCGGCCGGCCGCTTGACGCTATCGACTGGCGAGCGCGCACCGGCCAGGCGCGCGGCCGAGGGAGCTCGAGCCGGCCCTGCCCGCCTGACTGACGCGTCGGCGCTGAAGATGCGACCGGCCCCGGACGGAGGGCTCTCCGCCGGCCACTCAGCTCGCGCCCGGTCGCTCAGCGGCGCCCGTACGCCGGCGCGGGGTGTGTGACGCAGTCCGAGCCGACGGCCCACACGATCGGTGCGTGTGTGGCGCGCTGTGCCCTGTGATACGCCGCTATCGTCCGTGACCGCGTGCCAGCTGGGGCGCGCCGCGTGCTAATCGATGTCGGCAGCGACAGATGCGGCGCACTCTACCGCCGCAGATTAACGGCGCGGTCCATGAACAGACGGTCAGCCGGTATCTCCAGCGCTCACACGGGACCCGCCCACTAGCACCGGCCGGTGCGACACAGACTCAGACGGCGCTGCTGTCCAACTGATGGCGTTGTGGGGGGATGGGAGGAGAGCAGCAGTCAGATGATCAAGCGAGGCGCGGCACCCAGCCCCGCGGTACGCCGAGGTCTCGGTTAAACGCCACCTGTGAGGTGCCGCCGGGGAGCGAGCCAACAAGCAACGCAGGTCACCAGGTGATGCGCCAGCGGGAACCGAGCCCCCAATCTCTGGCGCGGATGTATTGGAGTCACATCCGAGAGACCCGTATACAACGGACGTTCGAACATCTTAGGAACTGCCCCTAATCATGGGGATGACATTGGGACTTAGAGGGCGCACCAACGGCCTAGGTCATTTTGCAGCCATCTTAGGAACTGACACGGCGCCCTCAACTCAGGTCTGTGTTAAGGGCGTAAAAAAGGCGGATGGAGACCCCAGGAAGCGAATACAAGCCACCAGACCCTCGTGCGGAGCTGACGTCGCCGGCCGACTCACTCATCCGGCAGGTCGGGGGCAGTACAAGCCACCAGACCATCGTGCGGAGCTGATGTCGCCGGCCGACTCACTCATCCGGCAGGTCGGGGGCAATACAAGCTATCAGACCATGGTGTGGAGCTGATGTCGCCGGCCGACTCACTCATCCGGCAGGTCGGGAGCAGTACAAGCCACCAGACCCTCGTGCGGAGCTGATGTCGCCGGCCGACTCACTCATCCGGCAGGTCGGGGGCAATACAAGCCACCAGACCATGGTGTGGAGCTGATGTCGCTGGCCGACTCTCTCATCCGGCAGGTCGGGGGCAATACAAGCTATCAGACCATGGTGTGGAGCTGATGTCGCTGGCCGACTCACTCATCCGGCAGGTCGGGGGTAATACAAGCCATCAGACCCTCGTGCGGAGCTGATGTCGCCGGCCGACTCACTCATCGGGCAGGTCGGGGGCGTCATCCTCCTGTCCCGGCAGGTCCACGTGAATGAAGATTGACCTCTCCTTGATATCTTTCATCACGGGGTGCTCCACAAAGTCATGGAAGGACGTGTCTGGAAACGTTCACGAACAGGCATGAGCAATGGACATGGACCGCAGTCACAAGCAAAATTCGCAGTCAGAATCTGAGTCGTGGCCCCTTGAGCCTAGTCGGCACTTTATTTTTCTTTTTCGCGAGTGAGTCAGCAACAACAAATGCATTACAACAGCTGACCGAATTCCAGGCGTGCGGCGCAGACAGCCCGTACACAACTGAGCAGCCACCGGAAGCTCACGATGCTCAATATGTCACCTCACGGCCCGCTGGCACTACCAACCTCTGGGGAACTACTCGATAACTGCAAACAGCATTTGGCGAGCGTAAGATATACCGTGTGGAGGATCAGAGCAAGGTCCTGGCAGAGGTGTAACACGGTAATGGCGTGCTTGCAGTTATGTTTGCACTTGTATTTTTACTTGCATTGTATTGGTATGCATTTGAAGTCAACCCACGGAGGGCTTTCCAAGTATTGGCTTCGTAGCAACGTTCGGTACGTTCGTTTCGTTCAACACTATGACGTCAGACACCAAAATACCCAAGAAGTCAAGATACAAATCTAACAAATCTGTCAGTTACGACCAAAAAAAGTGTCAAACTCAAAGTACGGATACAAAGATGCTGTGTGGAATGACATGACATGACATAGTATGATATGATACAGTACGACATGGTTAAGTGTGTTATTATATAGTTCGATTACGGTACGATACGGTACGGTACGGTACGGTACGGTACGGTACGATAAGACACGACACGACACGACACGACACGACACGACACGACACGACACGACACGACACGACATGACACGACACGACACGACACGACACGACTCGACACGACACGACACGACACGACACGACACGACACGACACGACACGACACGACACAGTACGGTAGCACGAATGCCGACAATCTGACTGCGAAGTAATAGCAACCGTTGCTGTTAACGGGGTGACGGAAGCGCCTGCGCAGTCATTGGGGTGGCAGCCATTTGGGGTGGCGCTGCCGGCTGATGGCTGCGAGGGACGGGGGGAGGGGGGGACTGAGTGGGGTGGATAATGTTTGACGTCCGCTGTTTCCATGTGGTGCCATACTTAGCTTGCCATGGTCAGTTTTGACCTCCCCCTGAGCCCGTGTTAGTGCGTCCGGACGGATAATGAGGGCGCAGAAGTAAGCATTACGACTGTGGAGAGTCCTTTCTGACCATTCTGTTCCCCCACAAGAGTCGTGGTCACCGTTCATCGTTATGTCACCGATCAACATTGGTCTATCCGTGGCCTACAAGAACGATAGTTTTTTGCTTTCTTTCACAGTGTGCTTCTGGCTTAGATTAAGCCTTTAGGTGCAGCTGTGGAACGAAAGCATTCCAGACACAAACATACCATTGTGGGCAGACCTAAAGGTCAGCTGAGGTCGACTTGGTCAAATTCATTAACAATGTGACAGACAAGACAGTAGCAATAGCCTTTCTCCTCAGAGAAAAACGAAGAGAATGGAGACATATATGGGTTGATATTTCGGTCACATGCCTTTATCGAACTATTTACGAAAAATGGCAAAACTGAGACGAACTAAGATCACTGACCTCACCTGTTTTGAAAAACTGAACTATACAACTTTTACGTAATACCAAGTTGTAATACTATCGCAAGTTTGAGCAATGGGAAATAAAACAAACAAAAAAACTGTACGTGATCAATTTTTCACCACTTGACTTCTCCGACCTGATCTAGGTCACTGACCTCGACATATAAAAGCTTCTAATTTGCACAAAGGATGTCAAATTGATGGATAAAAGGGGTGCTAAAAATTCAATGCCGCTCCAAGAGTTTGTTCGTGAGCTGTGCTAAAAAAAAGACGCAGGGGGAAGTCAACTTCCCCGGCCGAGCGCGGGTCACGGGATGCCCTCCTAGTGGGGTCGACCCCGACATTCCTGTTACATGAGACGTCAGCAGTAACAAACCACACGATACGAAATACGACACCACCACTTAATTCTGACAGGACGGTGTGATACAGATCTGATATGTTGCTAAATTACGCATGACATGAGGACAAACGACAACTTCAACTACTGCAAGTCATTAATTCATACCGGCTGTCAAATCGTAGCCATTCCTAATTGCGTTGTTGCTAATGCCTTTGAGACTATTACAAATTGCCCTACCGTTACCACACTGGTTTTTTAAGACCTGTTGAGCAGTCGCTTTACTAAAACGTTGTGTCTTTAACATAACACGGTTCCAGCCGACAAATTTTTTCAGCATCAGAGAAATAGAAAGAGAGGGAGAGAGAGAGAGCGCGTCGCCAGTGAGCGCTGA